TATAAAATTTGGGACATTACAAATATCATGATCAACCATAGGTCAACAATGGTTGGCCTGAGTTTTAGGCGTAGGTTAGATTTTTAATTATATATTGAGAACTCATTTGTAATCTTTTGAAATTTTGGGATTATGATTCTAATTTTTTCTTTTGTTTTATTTAAATAGGAGGACATTTTCGTCATTTTACAGCTTTTAATTGAAAAAATAGATGAAAATGATGATTTCAGCAATGAAACGTGGAAATATGGGTGAAAATGCAAAAAATTGAAACGTAAGGATATTTTGCACACTAAAAGCCTAACGTATGGATATTTTGTGCGAATAAGCCCGCAAATTTGTTATTGTGATAGAACATGTTTTGAATTTTTTATTTTTATTATTATTATTATTATTATTATTATTATTATTATTATTTTAAATCTACGTTGAGAGCAGTTACTATTATCAAGTGGGGACTCGAAATATTAATTATTGAGATTTTTTTTTAAAACAGAATATTGGACTTTCATTTTGTTATTGTATACAAGTGGAAAGTAAAGAAAAAAAGAAAAATTCCAATACTTTAAGAGTAGGTATTTTTATGAGACTTAAAAAATCAAATACTGAAATATCAATTTTTTATATGATATAAATAAACCGAACAAATTCTATACTCGTAGAGGGTAGATGCCCCGCGCAAGATTTGGATAAATATGAGATTGAAATATTATTTCTTTTTTCTTGCATACGAGGATAAAACAAATTAAAAAATAAGTTTCCGTAGAAGTTGCTAGTAGGTATTGTGGATCGAGAACTGTCATAATTTTCCTTTGAAAAAAAAAAAAAACATTGGGGGCATATGGTATGACTTCTCCTTTATATTCGTCTTTATCCTTTAGAGGCACAGTTAGACACTTGTCTCAATTGAGGTACTTGGCAACTGTGCTCAAGTGGGATAAAAAAAATAAAAAAATAAATTCAACTTGTAGGTGATAAGTTTGTTTTACACATTTATTTAGGTCATAAAACATGGATAATTGTTGGTAACTATATCGAAATATGACTTATAAATTGTGTTTTGTAGGGTAACATCGATGAACGTGGTGGAATTTATGAAAAATGAGTGAAAAAGACTAAAATGAAAGAAAATCAAAGTTCAGTGACCAAAGTGCAAAAAGCCAAAAGATGACCCGGGATAAGAACATCGATTCTTCAGTATTCTTTTTGTTTTCTTCTTCATAACATGTTAGGCTAGTTTTTTTTATGTATTAGGAGAACGATAAATCATGTGATATGAGTTTTAATTTTTAACTTTATATATTTGACATTGAAACGCGAATTTTGGATATTGAACAGTTTATATGATTTTATTTTCTCCGCAATTATTGTGCACGATAGTTGTATAAATTTGGGTGGCCTATTTTATCCATTTGAAAAAAAGAAAATATGTTCGGCATATATAAATTATCATAGGGTCGGAAATGGGATAGAAATCTACCGCTATACCTTATATGAATCTTTAAATGTTCATAAAAATTTATGCACTTTTATATGTTTGCATCACTCATAGAAATATAGTTGGATCATATATAAAGTAGGTTTAACATTCTCGAGAGAGATTGTTAAATAAAATAGGAATATTAATTCGTCAAATTCAATCATGCAGTCAAGGTATAAAACTAAGGTTAAAAATGATTATTGTATAGGAATTCGAGATCCTAATATGTTTGTTATTCACTAAAACACATTAAACTGGGTTTAACATAATTTGCATTTAATTTAGTTAATTCACTCTTAATTGCATAAGTAGTTAATTTAGATATAATTTAGTCATAACACATTATATTATTCTTGTTTCGGTTAAGGTCGCAATAACTAAAATTGAATTAAATCAATCTCCGTGGGACGACATTCGGACTCAAGATTCATTTTATTACTTGTTAACGAACCTACACTTGCGGTGATTTTAATTCGAAATACATTTTCGTGAACAAGTTTTTGGCGCCGCTTCCGAGAATTGAGTTTAGTTTGATTTTAATTACCTCGACACTAACTTAAACATTGTTTTTGTTATTTATTTATTTCATTTCATTTTAGTTATCTTAGTGCTACTATTGTTTTTCTTTTAGATCTTGTGTGCGAAGTCGTTTCACGGTGAATTGACTATAGTTGATCCAGAAATTGAATGCACATTTCATCGTAGACAACGGGAAGCAAGAACAGCACAACAAAAAGTCCAAAAACTGCAAGTACACATGACTAACGAACAAAACAATCAAGTAGTTCAGGTCAACGAAGAGGAAACTGTTGATGACAGAATTATGCTTGTTGGGAATTTCACGACACCACAGATCATTCAGAGTCAATCCAGCATCGTCGACTCTCCGTTTGGGCAGCCTAATTTCTAGCCGAAGACTAATGTTATATATTTATTCCAAAATGGACATCAGTCTTATGGCAGAGTTGAAGAAAATCCTAATACACACGTCTCTCGATTCTTAGAGATGTGTCAACATTTTCGATATCAGGGTATTTTAGATGATGCTATTAGACTTTGAGTGAGTTTTTCAAAAGAAAGTGCCGAGTGTATACGAGGTAGATGCTTACTTAGCTTTATCTGCGAAAATAGATTCATTATTTCATAAAGTGTAGAGCATATCACAGATTGCCAATGGAGCACAAGCCAAGAAGCCAAGTTACGAAGAGTGTGAGACAGATCATAATACAACAAATTGTCCTATTCTGGGACAAGGAATGGAACAAGTGGATTTTGCACAATGGGGACAACATCAACAGAATAATCTACATTCAGATACTTACAACTCAAGTTGAAGGAAGCACCCAAATTTCTCTTGGCCTAATCAGAATCAGAATAGGCCGCATGATCAATTTCAGCAGTATGAAAAAAAATTCAGTTCGAAGAGATGTTCGAAAAATTTATGGAGAAAACAAATCAATACATTGAAGCTTATTAGTTCATGAGGAAGACTGAAAGAACTCTCCGAGATCAGAACGCTGCTATTAAAAACTTGGAGACTCAAATGGTGCAGATGGCACTTTCTATGACTAGCAGAGCAACATGTTCATTACCCAGCAATACATAAATCAACCCCAAGGATCATGTAAAAGTAATAACAACCAGAAGCGGGGTACAATTACCAAAAATACATGTAAAGATACCGGTTGCGAGTAAGGAAACAGTATTTATTCAGATGAGGAGCATGTAGAACATAATGAACAGACAACAGATGCATCTGATAAGGAGAGTTTAGTTACATCACGAGTTAAGGCAACTACTCCCATCAATCCTTATGAGTCTCATATTCCTTTTCCATAGAGGTTGAAAAAGTACAAAATGGATCAACAGTGCACGAAATTTTTTGAGGTCTTCAAGAAACTCCACATCAACATCCCATTTGCCGATGCACTCATCCAAATGTCAAGCTACGCCAAATTCCTAAAGGACATCTTATCCAATAAACACAAGTTAGAGGAACATGAAATAGTGATGTTGACTGATGAGTGCAGCGCCATAATCCAGAAAAAGTTACCTCCAAAGTTAAAAGACCCAAGGAGTTTTACTATACCTTGTACCATTGGAAATTGTTATTTTGATAAAGCTTTATGCGATTTAGGTGCAAG